AATCTGGCCACAACCACAGCCGTCGCGTAGCCCGGTCGTCGCCAAAATAATTATCTACATAAGAGTACGTGTTAAAATAATTTGACAGCTGTGGTTTGTAGCTCGTCGTTTTCATTGTGTTCGGGCTATAACTTTTGCCGACCACTGCTTGTTAGCCACCCAGTGATCGGACTCCTACCACATTGTGGTAGATCTGCCACTTTTTTCAGCATCTACCACATCTACCACACAAGGTCTGAAATCTACCACATATTCATGTTTTCGAGTAGTTTTAGTTTTGCTCGACAATTGTCCAACACTAAACACTAACAACAGGCAGAATGGGAGGATAAAATAAACTGTAAAATAGTAAATTTTTCAATATTCAATTTTTGGAAAGGAAACGTGGTTTTATTGTTTTAAATTGCAAAATATGTGATTTATAAAAAGAATTAGTAGCGTGGAAATCATTGCTCCGCTACCGCTGTTCGTATATGGGTGAAACACGCGTGTGGTCATAGAGCGTTCAGTAAGCTATGGCATGTCGATCACTGCGCTACCCTGCAAAAATCGTTGGATCATGTAGTCTATTTGTGGTAAATTGGAGTACTTACAAAAGTGTTCCTCTGTCATGCTGTAGCGGACCAACTGGTGTCTCTGCGCTAGCTTATTGTTTGTTATCCGATCACTGAATCACGTGATTGAAGTTGAGCATTTGAAAGCACATTTGCATGTCTGGCTGTAGCTGAACGTGTAGAGATGCTCGCTGTTAGTTCTTAGCTCCCAGCATGTTCGGGTTCGAATACCGTCAGAGGCAACATATAATTTTTAATTTTTGTCTTGGTTTTTAATTTCGAAAAAGTATTTGAGAAGTGAAGAACAAAAGCGTGTACAAACGAAAAAATATAGCAACAATGCCATTGTTATTATGTTGGAGTAGTTTTGTGCTACTCTGATGTAATGCGGGGATGGAGTATATGGTCCTGCCCTAGGACATCGCAATGTTAATTGGACCATATTTTTTATATGAATTGTGGTTAATTTTGGAGTACTGCTTGGTCCTTAGGGAGTACTCTTTACACGCATTCATGGAGTAGTCGCGATTTTTGCAGGGTAGGTAGAGAAAGAAAAGTGTGTGCTATGATATGCAGTGTTGCCAGAACTTTCTGGGCCAACCGGCTAGATTGGCAAAAAAAATCGGCTAAACTGTTTCAACTAAATTTCACATGTTTTATTTAAATAAATCATAAGTAGAAAGACTAATTCTTGGGGAGAAGTTGCAAGCTGGAAAAAAATTTTGGCGGCAAAAATTTGCAATTAGAAAAAACATATGAATGTGGCACGTGGTAGCATTTTTTGTCGACAATAATTTGAATAAACAGGTTCGTCAAATTTAAAAATTTACAAACCGGAGCGATTTATAATAAAAAATCTCAACCGGAGTCGATATAGGAAACGCGACAGTTAGTACGGCAAAGAAATTGAAACGTATGTTGAAGAAAGTCGGACTTGCAAGAAATATACATGTGGATCCTGTTTTTTGTCCCTCTGAAAGAACTTTAAAATTGTGTACAAATTTCTTATGTTTTAAATGCAACCGTGGACACTAGCTGGCAGAGCAACTATTGTCTTCCTAGAGAGTTTTGCTTTACATAGAAATTTGTGCTCTTTTACTTTCATTTTTATGCATTTCAGTGCTGGTTCTTTTAATTCAAGTTGGCCTTCGGTTTTTAGAATTTAAATAAGTTCTCAGGAAAAAAAGTTAGCTTAAATAAGGCCATATGTGTACATAGTGCTTGAAAATATCAATTTTTCCCTTGCCTTAAAACTTTAAGCGTGGGCAACAATGATGTTTTCTAATTTGGGCAGAATTGAATATACGCTATCTGGGAAGACAATACCTGTAACATTTATTCTTGGCAGTATATCCAACCACAAACGCCTGTTAAGCATACAGTGAAACAATTTGTTATTTTCTAAGTTTGCGAATAAAACTTCACACTTAAATTTAAGTCATTGATAACATACATTTTATGAAGAAAGTCCCCGTTACGGCCTTCTTTAGAAAAAAAAATTTGTTTAAAATAAAAATAATCAAATCGGCCCAATTTAATCCTCCACGATAACGCTAGTAGCCATTTCTAACAGATTTTGGGTCGCTTAGTCAAAAATGGAAACATATATATTTGAATTTTAAGAAAACAAAGAACTATTTCTAATCGGCTAAAAACGGCTAACAAATCGGCTTCCGGCTAAACCGAAATTTCTCCGGCTGTTTGCTATTGAAACCGGCTAAATCTAGCCCGATAACGGCTAAAATGGCAACACTGATGATATGCCCAGACTTGTTTGTCTCAGTTTCAGTTTTGCCATCGCCGCGAGTTGTTTCGGTGTGCGCATAGTTATTTAAAAATATAAAGTTTGATGCCAACCGGGGTTTCTCAGTGGATATATAATTCATGTGAATTATAATTTGAAAGTATCTATTTAGCCAAGGAAAAAGCAAAGCAGTATACTTAAACCAGCACTTCCAGCAGATATTGACCTGGGTTTTCGCACGACTATTCCTGTTTCATCGTTTCTTTTTAGGAAATTCTTACCCCCATATACATATGTATTATTTCCACTAATAACTATTTATGTAAATATGTATGTATTTTTTATGCTTAATATATGCAATTAAAAGAAGAAAGTAAACACAACAACCATCGAGTAAATTTTTATTTGTGTCAAACTGGAACCTTTTTTCTAATAATAAACGGTTAGCTGATTCATGTCTACAGCAAGTTCACAAAATGAATTGAAAACTTGTATCAACCAAAGCATTGTTTATATTTGCTCAACAATGATTTTATTCAACTAACAATATTGTCCACTCAAGGTAGTCGTTTTGTAATTATTAACGAATATACATTTGTCCAAACTAGAAGTCTCAAGTAAATTGCAGAGTTTCGTGAACTAGATATTTATTTCGCCATATCGAACTATGCCACTTTTGGTCACTATAACCAAATCTTGGTAATTATAACTAAACCTTTTTCTGAGTGTATATATATCATATCCAAGTGTCGGTAGTTTGTACCTTTTCCAAATTTTTAGAACTTACATTGCACCGTAGCAGTAGTCATCTTAAGTTTGAAATACTGGCAGCCGATTTCTCAGTGGATGTTTAATTATAATCAAAAGATTATCTCTTATTGTCATCTTCTCAGTGTACTTAATATATGACTAACTCACCACCACCTTTCATAAGATTTATTAATGGCGAAACCAGCTTTTCCTGTAAATCCTGTAAAACCTGCAAATCGTGAAGTTGGGTTGAGTTGAATCCAAACAGTTTGTTATTTTGCGAAATCCTAGGAAACGAAACAATTGCAAGCTGACACCTTTTTAATAATGGTTTTAATTTAATCAATGCTTTCAATCTGCTCGCGCGTATGAGCTGTCAAAAACTATTGTTTTGAACATGTAAACCTCAAGTAAATGTCAATTACACCAATTCACAAAAGTATTTATTAAATGTAAAAATCAGTACAAAATCAGTACAAACTCAAAAAATCAGAAGATTTCGGGATCTTAAAAATCAGTACAATAGAAAAAAATCAGCACATGTACTGATTAAATCGGCGCATCTGGCCACCCTACTCGAGTTATCGTGTACACGGACGGACGGACAGACGGACCGACAGACAGACATGGCTTAATCGAGAAATCGATTCATCCTGATCATTTATGTATACATTTGTCTATATCTATCTCGATTCGTTTTGGCTGTTACAAACAACCGTTATGTGAACAAAATTAATATACCCGCGCTCGGGTATAAAAAGGTAGTTAGAGATTTTTTATTCCAAAAAATAACTTCGACTCCACTGAATTATCTTCTCCACCACTTCTGCACCATGTTTCAACTCAATACATTGTATCACTCCTAGAATCAGGGTCTGTTCCAAATAAGGATATTAGGGATTTATTTTGGAACGAATTTCCGTCATCCCTTGTCAAGTTTGGTTTGCAGACAAACCGGTTTCGGCGTTGTGCCATCTTCAGTGTCATTTTTCGTTCTCAATATTAGGGATTTCCCTGCAATACTCAATCAGTTGAGTGTTGCGTTAAATTAGTAACGGAGTCAGCAGAACATGTTGTTGGCTAGAAAAATAGGGATCGTTTCATTCGAACTACGTTGCTATCCAGAGAAATTATACCTTACAAACAAGGCACACTTCAACGTGAGGAATTAATAAATCAGTCAGGGACAATAGAATTTATTATAGTTGGTTGGGAAGGGCGTGGATGGAACTCTTGTTGCAGCTACCTTCCCGTGGTGAGTTCTGAGACGAGTTAGATATGCTGCCCGTGCGAAGAGCTGCATACAAAAAAAAAATTTAATATGACATGACAATAATAATAATAATAATAATAATAAATATGTATACTTACATATAAAACGCTATCATATAATGTGTTGAAATATTACTCCTAGATGTTTAACATAAACCATAGCAGTTGTAAGAAAAATATTCGAAAAGCAACAAAATTTGTAATAAGCGACTTACCTCGGATGAGAAACTTTTCCACCTCAACCAGAAAACTGAAGGGGGGGCCAAGGAAATTGTGCGATGGTGTCCTTTAACCAAAGATGGCTTTGAAATGGCCTGGAAAAGTTTAAGCGACAGATAGGAAAATGGGTGCATTCTTTTGCAACCGAGCTACGGAAGAACCTAGCTTACATGACGAAATACATGCAAAGCAACATCACAAACTCGGTTATTTATCCGAGTTCAGCCAGGTCGGTTAAAAAATACGCGACCGGAAGGGTAGTGTTGGTAAGTGAAAAAACTGCTCTATTGTGAATTGTTAATGGGAAAATGGTGAGGAAAATTTTTGTTTCCTTATATAAATGATTTGTATTTTATATAAGTATATAAATATATATATTACGCAAATATTTCGCATAACTACTCATTTCTATTGGTTTTTGTCTCTATATCCCGTTAACCTAATAACATTTTTCTTTCCAGATACCAACAGGTCTGCTTAAGTAGCTATAAGGAAATTTTACCCGAGTTGAGGGTTCTTTTGACGCTCGTTTACAAAAAAAAAACGCGGCTAATAAACGCATTCTACTAAATACGCTATTGAAAATTTTGTTCAACCTCAACGCAGTAGAGAGCAAATGCGGTAGCTCTATCAAGAAACTGCAACGAGACATAAATAACTGCATCTCGTCACTCCAATTTCATAATATTCCCAGTGGGAAAATGAATGTATAGTAATCGAAAAAATAATCAGTAAGACAACCCTTTTCACATTCGAAAATGCATTTTTTCCCCAGGGCGATGTCCTAGTATCGAGAAATAAACGTGTTTTAATATGAAATTTTTGCAAATTTTTGAATACATTAGAATGCTGATTACATTGTTAGCATTAATATTATCGAGCACGCATAAGAAGTGCATTATATTATTTATCACGCACGTAATGCATTACTAATTTTCCGACTGGGATTGACATTTCTAATTGGGATGCAATTCTAACGTATATTTGTTCGGCTAAACTACCAGAACATACATTGACGCCATGGGAACAGACCATAGATAATAAAACAGAAATTTCTAAATGGAAAGACATGGATAGGTTTTTATCTAACAGGTTTCAGACGCTTGAAACCAACTGATCCGAACCCCGAAAATGGCGTAGCTTCAACGTCAGAACAGGTTAGGTTGAGGTGCGAAGGTGAAAGAGAAAATAATACCCAGACTTGCAATGTTACCTCCTGTCATGCCAACACAAATAAAGGAGTGTTATTAGGAACTGCCCGTGTCAATATCCATTATATTGGCGTTAGTTTTCCAGCTGGAGCACTAATTGATTCTGGCGGTCACCTATAGACCCATCAATTGTTATAGAAACCACTGCCCTAGTTCTGCCTCGGTTTACAGAGGATCCTCCGACTTGCCACGTTGGTGATATGACACGAAAGGCATTTCCAAACTTGGTTTTGGCAGATAAAAGATTCTACGACAACGAGCTAATTGATCTCGTATTAGGTGTTCTATTCAACTGCGGTCACATATAGACCCATCAAATGTTATAGAAACCACTGCCCTAGTTCTGCCTCGGTTTACAGGGGATCTTCCGACTTACCACGTTGGTGATATGACACGAAAGGCATTTCCAAACTTGGTTTTGGCAGATAAAAGATTCTACGACAACGAGCCAATTGATTTCGTATTAGGCGGAGATGTTTACCCACAAATCATGTTAAGCGGCATACAGAAGAATGCTCTTAATACGTTTCTTGCCCAAGAGACCATATTCGGTTGGATTCTGACTGGTTGCGCGCAAACACCGAATCCAACCTATAAAAAAAGTATATTTTTCAGCAAATTTTCAACATTTCCTACCCACCACAGCAAGGTTAAAAACTGTAACACGCGGCTGGTTGACTCAACAGGTAGAGGACTTAAAGTGCATACACAGACATACAATTCTTTGGGGCTTCAGGATACTTGATCACAAGAAGACAATCCAAAACGGCCAATAAAGGAAAGGGACTCAAACAGAACTCAAAAATACAATAAGATGTACGCTCATATGAGAACGAATGTAAACCGTAGTGATATTCTCCACAGTAATTCGAACCTACCGAGGACTTTGAGCAACAAATCAAATAATATGAGAGACTAGCAAAGAACTCGTCAAAAAAGAAAGTGTTCTTTCAAGCCGGAGTCTTACTTAAATTCGGCTAAAAAAGATAAAGCTCGATACCAGATTCTCAAAACCATTCGGGTGAATATGCAAAACAACATTACAAAAGGATCGCATCGGACCACGAACTCAGCACTCTTCCATGCCGAGATGAACCTTCCCTTAATCCGACAGTTAAGTCCCACCACCAACAATAGACATCAATATTTTTTAAAGTCCAACTTTCAAAGACCCGCACAAGGTTAGATCTACTTTCGTCCCACCAAGGGTACGAAACATAATCAACCAACTAACGAGTGGATATTAGGAAAAGTTGTCAACGTACACCCCGGTTCCAACAACCGAGTGCGTGTAGTGGACATCGCGACGGAGAAAAGACAAGTTAGGAGGCCCCTCGTAAAATTTGTCCTATTTCGTGCCAACAACGAAGGAACCGAGGTCCAGGAGCCACCAACCACTTCGTAAAAAACATCATTATCCCACTTCCTCTCTGACCACACCATTCCACTTCTACCATTGAAGTGATTCCACCTCAAAATCCCACTTAATACCGGTCTCAACCTGGTATTCGTTCACAATACGTTTTCTATCAAGACGGTTCTTGACCGGGTTACCCCGGGTCGATCTGGTGATATATAACCGACCATCGTTAGATCTAGCAGGCAGCAAAAAATACTCACAGCATAGTCATGGAATATTCTGCCTAGAAACACATGCAGAGATTAGAAAACTAGCGACCTTCATGAGTAATTGACCCAGGCTTACGAAACTTAATGTCACCGTATCAATATAGCCCCGATTGCTCACTGGGCGTGCAGAGATTAGAAAACTAGCGACCTTCATGAGTAATTGACCCAGGCTTACGAAACTTAATGTCACCGTATCAATATAGCCCCGATTGCTCACTGGGCGTGCTGGTTTTCAACCGTAAACCATATATTTCTTTACAAATAAGAAGTCAATGCCCCTGGCAGGTTTTGATAGCGACCAAACATATTGAATTCATTTATCAAAACTTGCAGGGACAAATCATTATTTAGAGATCACGGTACTCATTAAATCGGCACTAAAAACTTATCCGATATCGACACGTTATTTAGAAAAAAAATCGTAAAATATATAAAGTGCCATGATTTCTTGCAATAAATATCGAATTCAAATATATTTGCTATAACTTACAGTACCATTATGCAGAACCAAGAAATGTGTGTACCTATGTATGCAAAAAATCCACTACTAGAGCCGGGATACTATCGATAGTACCGCCACTCGATAGTTTTCGAAACTATAGTTGAAAACATCGTCGTGAAAGATATTGAATTGAAACGCTCAATTGCTTGAAAATTAAATAACTATTAAATTTATAAATTAATTTGTAAATTAAAGAGATTATATAATTTTTTTTTAAATTTGAGTACATCAAAAAGAACTTCTTATAATAATAAAATAAACTTCAACTAAACAAATAAGTGAAATTGGCTGTAATAACACATTTCTAATACTACAAAACAAAAGATATTCGCTTAAATTGACAACTCATACCATCTCTGAGACACTACCTTTCCGAATTTCGAGAATAATCAAAATCGGTTGACGTGGTCCAAAGTTAAGCGGTAACACATACAAAAAAAAAAAAATATTCCGACGAACTGATAACCTCCTCCTTTTTTGGAAGTCGGTTAAAAAGTTCAACTGAGATCGAATGCGGAAGCGCATATCAAAATCCGGACAAAGGAAATTTTTAACATTTTACCATATTATAAGAAAACGCATATAGTCCTAGTTAAAATAATAGCACCACAACATTTTTAGCAGTTCTGACTATTTTTTTGTTTGTTTAGTGTCTACTAATCTATATACCTATATAAATATGAATGTCTGTTTGTTTATTTATTTATTTATTTATTTATTTATTGAGTCTATGAACATACAAAAGTTCCATACAGATTAGTCAACAAAATTCAAATTAATTGATAACACAGGTTTACAAAAAAAAAAACGCTTATGCATATTAAACCGAACCTATACATCCCTATGTTATTCGACACGCTGAATGCGAATCCGAAGTCCGTTAGTCTCCATCACGTCAGGTTCGTGGTCAGTTGAAGGTCAAGTAGGGAAAAATTCATTGAAAATGAAAAATTCATATACATAAGGTTTTACATTCGCTGAACCCCAATCCGAGGTCCGTTAACCTCCATAATGTCAGCTTCGAGGTCATTAGAAGGTCAAATAGCACATAAAATGTATTCAATAAAAATTAAAAAAAAAAAAAATAGTTTTTGTTGTCACTGAAACCGAGTATGGAGGTCCCTTGATTCCTCAAGGTCATCTGGAGGTCATGCCCAGGTCAAATTCCGATGAATTTTATTGAATTTTCAGGTTTATTCAATGAATTTTTCCCTACTTGACCTTCAAATGACCACGAACCTGACGTGATGGAGGCTAACGGACCTCGGATTCGCATTCAGCATGTCGAATAACATAGGGATATATAGGTTTGGTTTAATATGCATACACTTTTTTTTGTAAACCTGTGTAATTAAAGAAATAAAATTTATAAAATTGAGTTCAACAGATTTTTGAAAACATTTATCGAGCAAGAAAAATCAATAATTAAATTTTTAGAGATCATATTGAATTCATTAATCGCGTGTGCAATAGGAGCATTACGTGCATTTTCTGTTTTGTGATTATCCCCAAAAAATGGGGGAAAAATTCGTAAGCTACACCGAGGAATGTTGAATAAATTTTCTCAATATTAAACGTAAAAGACAAAGAGAGAGAGACCTTCTTATCTCCAAAGACTTAANGCAGTCCGTAGCACCAATAATAATATTAAACGTAAAAGACAAAGAGAGAACAGATCTTCTTATCTCCAAAGACTTAAGATTTATTAATAGTAAGCGAGAACTATAAGATGGTAACGGTTCGGAAAAATTTAAGTTGCGCAAAGCGAACTTTAGGATTTTTGAACACGTTCAATTCGATTTATCATGTTTTTATGGCAAGGCCTCCAAATAATTGCAGCATATTCTAAATTGGAGCGAACAAAAGACGTAAAACACAGTTTGAGGGTATATGGGTCAGAAAAATTTTTGGTATTTCGCCTCACAAATCCAAGCATTGCGTAAGCTTTTGCAACAATATGACAAATATGGCTATTAAAAGAAAAATTTGAAGAAAAAATTACGCCAAGGTCTTTTATCTCGTTGACAGAAATTAATATTGTAGTTGAAATATTATAAGGCGTAGCCACGATATTGCAAATTTTTGCATAGGTGACTTTGAAACATTTTTTTAACATTCAAAGAAAGACACTGCACTGGTGCACTAAATATTACCAACGATGCAGGTTATCAATTTCAGCTTGAAACTTTGTCGCATCAGATGAGTTCTTTATGATCGAAAATATTTTTAAATCATCTGCATATAGCAAAAAATTTGCAAAAGTAAAGCAAGTATCGTTTATGAATAAAACAAAAAGCAATGGACCTAATATACTCCCCTCAGGAACCCCAGAGGAGGCTATAAAAGGTTCTGAAGTTGTTCCATCTACGGTGACAACACAGCGTCTGTTACTTAAGTAAGACTTAATCCAACGCAAGAAGTCGGAATGAAAACCCAAACATGCTAACTGGCTA